GTAGTAATAATAATAATAATAATCGCTCAGTATAAATTTTTTTCGTCTCACCCTGAATTAAAAAAAAAAAAAACAAAAAAAAAAAATTCGTCAATCAATATTTTTTCCACCCGCGATTCGGTAGATAATAAACCACAGCCCTCGCCTTTACACTCGACGAGGCGCTCCGAGTAGTCAAGCGTAATTAAAGTCCAGCGCGACGCATTAAATCCACGTGCCCTTAATTAATCTGTCACATCCTTTTAACAGCTACGCGGTTACACGGGTGTTGGTAAACGCACATGGGTATAGGTGTGTCTATAATGCCAATGCCGCGACCTTCCCGAGCTCTCACGTGCACACTTTACGATTTTAGATAGAAAAGGCCATCGCGATTATGGTACACCTTCGATTGATACCACGCGAGAACGTTGTTATTACTCGACACGGTTTGGTTCCTTTTATTCGTGGGTCTCTTTTCGCGCGTTGTTTTTAAAGTGGATCAATTCAGAGGCTATCAATTTGGAAGTGCAGATAAGCATCCGAGTGCTGCAACGAGACGGACAATCACTTTTGGGGAGCCAGAGCACGTGTTGGTGCGTGTGAGAGCCGATAACGTCTGCGGAATGTTTGTGGCTGACAGACAATTGAAAGACACCTTTGCACTTAAAGTGTTGCGGACGGTTACTATCGCGAGTGAAGTTTTAAGTGGTGGGAATGGACGAAAAACAAAACAAACGAATGTGAAACGAAAATGGGTACGTTAGGTGAGGGGTAGGGTGGTGAATGTGCGATGTTTCGAAAATACGAGTGGAGACTGCGTGGACGAGAGTAAAAATAAATAAAAACGCGATAGCCATGGGTGAGAAGAAATTTTGCAAACAGCAACAATAAAAAATATTTGGAACGATGAAAATTTTTGTTGACAAAACACGTGGATATTCTTCCAAATACTTTGGGTTCTTAATTTTTTCCTAACGAATAATGCTTTATTTACTTTTAATTTTCCCTATGCAAATAATGCACATTATTGTGTAAGAATTTAAAATAATAAAAATGTCTAAGTATTGTAATAAAATATTTACTTGAATTATTGTATTGATGTATAGC